TAAAATTCAACAGTTTATACTTAAAATTAGACTAGAGTTTTATATCAAATTAAATTTAGGAAATTACATCCGTTTTCAAATTGAGGAAAAGCCAAAGTAGATTTAAGGAATACGTTAATGCTCCGTTGAAAAAGTACTTGATAATTTTCACAAGAAAAAAAGCCAGGAAAATTAAAACAAAACATCATCCTTACAAGTGTCTTCGGTTATCAATGTTCAGAAGACTTAGACTTGAGCAACTACTGTACAACAGTCGCTATAAAATAGATAATTTTGCCATTGGTAGATATTCTTTTCGTTTAACATTTAATTTCAGCATTAAGAGTCGAAACACAGTCTGAATAGAAATTTAATGTTGATTCAATTCTCAGTGGTAACGAAAGTACACCAAGAAACCAAGAAACCCCTTCAAACCCCCTTTTTTATCGTAAACTAATTGATCTGCCTGAAATAACATTACGGATGGTTGACAATCAAATTAGATACATGATCCAAGTTTTGACCGGGGGATGTTTTTAAAATTTGAGTTTAGTATATTTACGATACTATGGTCTGTGAAATAAGATAGTCCCTGTCTCGTTTATCAAGATTTATAATATGGACATGTTTTGTGAGTAGAAATAGAAGCTGACTCCTGTATAAGAAAAATTGTAAAGTTATTTTCACTTTAAAAGGATTTATTATGAATGACATAAGGCGGAGTTGATTAATCCACAGAAAGGCGAAAACAGATACAAATCTAACAAGAAATTTACTGGTCTTTATATTTCATTATAAAGTGAGGGACGCCCGGGTTTGCCCCACGTGTATAAAGGTAGCGGGCACGCCCCTATGACTTTACGTGATAGTATGTTTGTTTATAGGGGTCTATACTTCTCTTATATTTGATATATAAACAAACGTCCCTACAGTATTGTCCGTCGTTTATTTTTTTAATTAAAGTTTCTATTTAATGTTTAAATTGATATGAGGGGAAGAAAAGGGTAACGATCTGATTCTGCCTGGTGTCGACCAGACAATGGGGTAGTTTATCAAAAAGTTAATTTCACGGACACTGTCAATAAAATGAAATTTTTGATACTTTTTGACGAAAGCAGAAGTATAAGTTAAAAGTAGAAATATCAAAACTGAAGCTGAGACTCTGAGTAACAACATTTTCAGGTTCTTACAGTGATATTTAAATATCGCTCTACAATTTATGTATGGAGCACTATCATATTTCTGTATCGTGCTATAATTGATGTATTGAGCACTATTTTAACAGTGGTATTTCTATACCACTCTACAATTGATGTATTGAGCACTATTTTAACAGTGGTATTTGTATATCGCTCTATAATTGATGTATTTAGCACTATTTAAACAGTTAGATAAATAAGACAATTTATGGATAGATACTTCTGAATATTTATTACTCCAACGTTTCATGGTGGTTCTCACATTATTATATTCCTGATGACGGTGTGAGAACCACATTGAAACGTTGAAGTAATAAATATTCTAGAAGTATCTATCCATAAATTGTCTTATTTATCTATAACCTGTGATTCTAATATGCCTTTGAAAAATTATTTTAACAGTGGTATTTCTATATTGCTCTACAATTGATGTATTAAGCACTATTTTGACGATTAAAATATTTTACAAGTATTATCTCCTAATAACGCCAGTTAAAATAAAGACTGTTCCTGTTTCTATCGACGCTGATAAAACCCACATGCAATGATATTATATCAACGAGCGATATTTCAATATTACAACAACTTTGAAGAGATTCGAAATGGTCGGGTCAAAGGGTGTTCTAATTTTCATTGTAGGCCGATGATGCCAAAGTACTTGCAACAATTATCTAACAATTTGTTTTTACAGATTCTAAGGTGGAAAAATGTGGAATTTTCACAGAAGAAGCCCACTTAAAATCAATTGAAACCTTTATTTCGAAAATTCCTCTATTTTCATTCTCTAATTGTGTTTTTTTTTACAATTTACCAGGTTAATTTTTCATCCAAAATTAATAATTTATTGTTTTTCAATAAAATACCGTGAAATGCAGTTGAAGCACGAGATGATACAAACAGCAGCCTGGAATTTGTTGATAAAACTGATAAAAATGTTTATGATTTTTATTATATCGATTGTTGAAGTAATATAATGAACGAGAAATCAGTAAATTAAATACCGGTATAGGAAAAAATCATTAAAACAAGTTTATAACATGTACTGATACACCGGACCCCCATCGACGATTTCAATCATTTCTGACAATTCATTTCGTTTTTTGTCTTCTCCAGGTGATTTGGATACATTTTCTGTCACATTTCAATCTCTGTATTGAAAATAACAATTTTTTAAACAGTTGATTGAGGGGTCGAAGTGTAAAGATCTCAGATACTGCCAGATAAAGACTAGATTGGATTTCTATGATACACTGTCCACCAATATCATTTACATTTTCCTGTTTAATTAAGATATTTAATGAACTCGTCTTAAATCGTCGTCAAACATTCTAAATTGACGTCTGACATTAAGATGTCACGTGATCATTATATTCCAATATGCACGCGAGATGCAGGGAGCAGTATCACGAGGACAAGGTCATGACCTCACGTGACGTCTTATTGTCATTTATATTTACCCTTATTTAGTAAAGATGTCAAAATGGCGGTATGACATAGTTTATGTCGCCATCTCGTGCAGTGTCATTATAAATGCATATTTTTTTTTTAGAAATCAGTAGAAATTTCAGGAGAATATCTATAAAGAGATAATGAATTATCATACGGGTCTGTCAAAATATGTCAGAAAAAACAACTGTAGATTAAAAAAGTCTTGACATTAAAAGTAATCAATTAACAAAAATACAAAAGATTTTAATAAATATGTGATTTTTATGTCAACAAATAACATTGAAGTTAAGAAATATTTGCTACAACATGTCAGATAAATCTAATGAATCTGTAGACTCTTTTAAATTCACCTTTATTAGTCGTATAATGTAATATTAGTATGGTTCTTGTAATAAGTGTCACTAAAAAGCATCTGATACCATGTTCTGTTAAATATGTTCGTCCAAATTTATTATAAATTTAAGAATTTAAATCAAATACCATAATGAGATATTGAAAGTGAGAGTTTAATTTCAATACCACTATTTCCAAAGAAAAATATAGCAATTTTGATTTCAAATTTCAATCTTTAATTCGTTGATTTGCAAACATGTACATTTTTAATCATTAAATATTTTATTCACATAAATATGTAAAGTTTTAGCTTTTGCCTATATATACCCTTCCGTATCATTGTAAGTCCAGCTTAAGCGTACATGAAATTAATTCTTTGATGCATTAACATTATTGAAAAATATCGGAGATAATACTACTTTTACTATCTTCTTTTTAAGAATATGAATACAGTTCCGATTGATATTACTTTCTGTATATACTAGTAAATTGTACATTGTTATATACTGATATTTCTACCCCTAAATTCTATTTCATGATCCCCAATTTACCATAATTTCCTATACTATCGCAAAATATTCATTTAAATAAATAAAGATAAAGAATTATATATATTAATATTATTTACTTGAAAATATATATATTGAAGTAGTATATGGGCAATATTACTGCTACCAATAAACTATAAAATACAGTCTTTTAGAATAATCGAAGCGATTAATATGATAATGACTGTCGTTTGCAGTTTAAACGGTAATTTAACACACAAATAGACTGATTTAACGGTAAATTTTACAACCAATCAAATTGTTAGAACTGCACGTGAACTGAACAATACGAGCAGTGGCGAGTACAATACGTAATATGACGAAAATGTCGCAGCCAATAGAAGGAATTGTAACAAAAATCAAACGTGAACGATAACAATTATAGTGATAATAAGCAGCGAATAAAAAACGATAATTTTTAGCTCGTAAAGAAAAACCAGTAGAGCGAAGACGTCATCATGGTAATCAAACGTGATTGGTTACAGATATGCGCGTGCTACGATATTCATAAGCAGAATGGGGATCATGCGCGTGCGATAAGGAATGATACTAGTGAATAGTGACAGTGGGAGGGTTTATTGATGAATATTTTAAAATTGTGGAAATTAAAGTTAGAACTATTTACTTGTCAGTCCTTATTAACTCATTCTTATTCTTAAATCAAACACGACGGTGACAAGGTGCCTGATTGTCATTCGCAACAATAAACCGAAAGTAGCAGATAACACACTAAAAACGAAAGTAGAGATAATTATAATATCGTGTATTTAAAGGATAATTATATCAATATATGTAAGTATAATTAATTTTTAAATAATTTTGAAGGATTTTGTTTTTTCTTGAAGAAATTTGATTTTCACATCAATACAGTGAAAGAACAGGCCAATTGTATCATTATTTTTTATGAATTACTGACAAAATTGACAGTCTTTTCTGCAAAAACTTTTTAAAACTATATACGGTTATCAACTTTATTTATATACTTTTATGCTAAGTAATAATTAAGATATAATCTATGATAAACTAAATAGTGAGAAAACTTATGGGCATCTTGGGTTGACCAAGTGAAGACCTGTGATGACGATTTATGAGTTATCGGTTGATATCCAAAATCAATTGCTTACATCATTTTTTTCTTAATTTTAGTCCAGATTCGATGTTGGTGACGGAAGAGGTAGGATTTATGGGATCTGAACGGCATGTTGCTGACGTTCCTAATCCTGATCCTGCACATATTCCACATCAATCAGCCGATAGTAAATCATCTTATCATCAGTGGGATATCAATGACAGTACTCTACCAACTGTAAGTTTAGTTTAAATCACATTTATTCCATTTTAAATACTGTTCTTCCTTATTCCAGGTTATAAGGCTATGGTCAATGCATTTAGATGTCGGCAATTATAGTGAATCCAATACCATTTTATGTATGTTCCATATGCCGTGACTTAAAGAAGATCCACATGCTTATAGTCTTGGTTTCTATTTCAGATCTCTTCTTTAGACAAATATCAAATATGGCCGAATGGTCACAGTCGTTTCGTTTATAATCAGGACCATGAAGAGGCTAAACGTCACGTGAGTGGTTGGGCCATGCGTAACACCAATAATCACAATGCCTATATATTGAAGAAATCCTGTCTTGGAGTGTTTGTTTGTAATCAAGACTGTTTGTTAGAAAATGGCGACAAAGTTCATATGAGACCAGCTATATGTGATAAAGCAAGAAGAAAGCAAATTGGTGAGTATACTTTATACGTTTTGTGAGTAGCGTTGTTCAAGAGCGGAGGCTTGAGGTTTTTTATATGAAGCTACCTTCAGAAGCTACGGAGATTTCCATTTCACTAATGTTTACTTGTAATTCATTGTTTTGGAACGTACCACAGAAGCCTTGAATTTCCACTCAGTTTCGCCTTGTTCGTCATCAATGTTCTGTAAACGTTTGATACGAACCACCTCGGTTCAGAACCAGCTACGGCACAGACTTTGTTTTCAACATGTATAACTGGTCAAAGCTTAACAAACGATTTTAAGGTGCTAATAAGTCGTAGGTGTTCTTTCACATTAAGGAATACAAGTTTAAGCCAAAAGAGATCTAAGGCCTTTTGTGAAACGGGACCTTTCACCACGATGAGTACATCTTTTGATTAACCGTCTCAACATCTACTGTTCTTTGTTACAGGTAAACCATGTCCAAACCCAAACTGTCTCGGACATCTAGAACTATTAGCATGTCGAGGTCATTTTGGATATCCAGTCACCCATTTCTGGCGACACGTGAATGGTGCGATATACTTTCAAGGCAAAGGTTACCACGATCATCCTAGACCGGAAATAAAATCTATAGCAGAAAGCAGACGCCATACTAGTAGGAATCGGGTTTTTAGGCATTCAAAGGTATGTTCAACTACTGTTTTACTTTAATATAACTTTATCATTAAATTTCGGGGAAGGGAGGGTTTGTAGCTGCGTTGTCTAAAAACTTTATTAAAACGTAGAACTCGTAGAACACTTGACTGTGTCTTTTCCTTGTTCGTAGCATAGCAGTGGTTTGGAATCTATTCGTGAAATTCCGGATTTCCATTTTGAAACGAGTTAAATTTTAAACATACGAATTGACTTATCTTATTATTAAAAAAAAACATCTTCTATTCACAGAGTCCTGGCATCGACAGAAAACGACATCTGACGTCACATGGTAGTGAATTCCT